AGAAGACTTTTTTCTTTTTTTTTTTTTGATAAGATTAGTAAATAAATAAGCATGCACTTACGTTTCTTGTTTTAAAGAACATATAAAGAAAAATGATTGTTCTTTTTAAATTACCGTTATTTGTCGTGTAATATTCGTAAATTTGACTTATTGTCAACTAAAGCCCTCTTGGTTTTCAATAGAACAATGAGCTGCCGTGACCGAGCCTTTTATCGGATTTGTGCACGAACAAAAGCGAATTGACCGATATATATGTATATATGTATATAAACACACAAACTATACGTGAGGTAAATATGTACTAGCTGCTTAAGTATATACACATATATATGTACTCACGTTTGCTAAGAATATAAAATGACTCGGTGGTGCTTGTTGCCCCTCAAAACATGAAAATGAAAAAGAAAAGAAAGAAGAGACACTTTCTTTTCATTGGACGTGACGTTTTTGTTCGATCTTTTTTCTTTTTCTTTTTTCTTTTTTTTTTTTTTTTTGATATGTGACACATCATTAATTTCTCATCGAAATTCATGGTATTTTGCGTCAAAACATATTTTCAAAGTAATGAAGTAGAAAAAAATGATGTACATGATAGTTCTTAAATAATCTGATATACAGTTGAGATTAAACGATTTAAACTTCCTTATCGAGAAAAGAGAAATTGAATAATTAAACTTTTTCTGTTTAACAAGCAAACTAATGTTTCTCGAAGTCGATTTATTTTTTTTTTACTCATTAAAGAATATGTCAATTATCTGAAGACTCTTCCGAATGGATAGGAAACATCTTTGAAAGTTATGTTCAAATGTGAAAGTAAGAGTTTTGCGGTAGAAGAAACGTTGAGAATATATAGACAAACCGGTCATAAATGGTATTCTTTCTATCTCTTTTGTCATAAGCAACGAGATGACAACACCGTGCAGGAAATAACTACATATATTTTACAGGGCTGCGAAACCCTTCGAGTGGAAATCCAACACTATCGATAATTCCAAAGTCGGAGAAAGAAAGAAACTAAAAAGAAGAGAAAAGGTATATCGGACGATAGAATTTATTCTTTTCGAGTTTAATAGAATATAATACGAATTTTTAAGAAAATATATATACGAAATATATATACGAATAGTTACGAAAATTTTCCAAATGATTTTCATTTTTTTCGTTTTCTTAGTTCTAATTTATCAGAAGAACTCTCTAAATGGTATTGTTTTACGTCCCTTGCTTTGACATTTCATAAATTAGTAAAAAATTTTAATAATAATAATAATAATAATAATAATAATAATAATAATAATAATAATTTAGAGACAATGAGAATCAGTAATTATTTTCACCATATTACGGATGTAATTCTATCAGCTTTCTTTAAAAATTAACGATTCTCTGGGTAAATATATATATATGTAAGTGTGTGTGTGTGTGTGTGTGTATGTGTATGTGTATGTGTGTGTACATACTTATATTTCCGAAGACTTCTATAAACAACACTTCCGTTCCGCATAGATTCCGTAATGAATTAATTTCAATGGTACGCATTTTCTCGACTACGTGCCTTTTCATTTTTCCGCTTGACCGAGATATTATTGAGAAGAATATAAAAATGAAAGAAATGTTCTCCTGGTTTTTCGGGATGGTATCAATTCGAAATGATCATTTGGGATCAACGATTAACAACGATCAAGTTAGAAATTATAACGGGTCGAAGAGATATAGAGCAAATGTAACGAGGTAAGCTAGGTTAACGCCTAGTGTAAATTACGTTTCCAGTGAGTGGTCATATGTGCTGGCCAATGCCTTCGTTCTTCCTCCTCTCTTTCTCTTTTCCCATTCAGTGTATATATAAGAAAGGAAGGTACGTGCGAATATGTGCAAATAAGTAGAAACATCGGAATAAGATCTATAGTCTTTGATCTCTCTTTTCTTCTCTTCTTTTTTTTCTCACATAATTATCGGATATTTGATTATATTTTTTGTAAATATATTTCTATAAAAAGTTGATAATGAAATAATCCAACGAGTCGAATAATCTTAATATGTAATACATTTTCTATTTTTAATGAGATAGAAGATAAGAAAGACAGAGAGAGAGAGAGAGAGAGAGAGAGAGCGAGAGAGCGAGAGAGATGATTTCGAGAATATGTTGAATCGGGGTCGAGAGGTCGAAGTCGATTTCGAAATAACGGTGAAACGAGCCGTCGAGTCTCAAAGAAGCGTTCATTGATAGTCCTGCGTTTGCAGGGAAAGGAACATCCCGATGATAATTCTGAATTCCTCGATTACTCGGTGCATCTGACGAAAGTATCGAGCTATTCAGGCATCGCTGCTTACAAACGGCTTCGTAATTACGCCAAGAATATAATAACGCGTCGATCTATCGCGCCGTTTCGATCTACGCGATTCTTCGTCTTGAAAACTAATTGTAAGATACCTTCTCTCCGTTGTTCTTTTCTCGCGTTTAATCAGATTTCTTTTTCGCTTTTTTTTTGTTCTTTTTCTCTTTTTTTTTTTTCATCTAATTGCTTTAAAATCGATTTAAATAAAAAGAAAAAAAAAGGAAAAAAAAGCGAACGGTGAAAAATAATCGTGAATAATCAGATATTTGTTTGATATGTATTTAAATATAAAATCAATTTCAATCTTGAAAAAAAAATTCGATAAGGAAAATTATAAATCGTTAAACAAAAAGGAATTTAAACAAATGCTATTTGATTTACAATTAAATACGTGGAATGACGACATAAAGTGACGATGCGTTGAACACATCGCGATCTTCAACATTGAATGTCGTCGAGGAAATATCAAGGTCGTTTTAATAATGTCACGAAGTAAAGTCCGGTGAGACGTCATGCGTGTTAAAATCTCTCGAAAGTGTCGAAAACAGCATCGACAACTTCGGAGAACCGTTGTTTCGCATTATTTCCGCGAGATATACATTTTGTACGAACAAGTTCGAAAAGTTAAATTACGGAATTATAATGATAATAACATATGGGATCTTTATACCACCCACGGTGTCTCCTTGGACACCATATGAATAGATTATACTGAAATCCGTTCGAGTGCGATGACTCTTTGAAAAGATATAAAAAAACTATAATAAAAGAAGAAAAAGAATAAAGTTTATTCAAATAAAAGCTCATTGTCAGTATAGATAATTAATGGGAAAGATATAATAATAAGTAAAGTTATAATAACAAAAAAAAAAAAAAAGAAAATATTGATTGCGTAAATAATTCGAGTAACATAACAGGTCGTAACAGAATCGATTCATTAAGGCGATCAAAATATGATACATTATAACGTAACAGTAATTAAAAAAAAAAAAAAAAAAAAAAAAAAAAAAAAAAAAAAAAAAAAAAAAAAAGAAAAGTCAAAAGATAAAAGAGAAAGAGAGAAAGAAAGAAATTCATTCGATAATTTCCTTCTGTATTCCTTAATCTTTTTTTCTCAGGATCAGTCTTATACATCGTCCTATCGAAGAAATCATAGGTTTGCTTTCCGCAACCTATACATTATCAAGAGATATTTTAAATTATTGTTATAATCAGCTACTATTGCTGACTCATACCATGCCGCTCCTTTTTTTTTATAACTCTCTCTCTCTCTCTCTCTTTCTTTCTTTTTTTTTTTATAGCACTCGTACTAATTTCCACGCGTGCGATCGCGTTACCTCATCCAAGATATGTAGGTCTGTATATGTGTTAGAGATTAATTGCACAAGATCCAACGACGGATCTGAGACAGATGACCTTCATACGATTACGTTCCATAAGAAAAGTCTTCGTGAATCGATACTTACCCGTTACCACTATCCGATAAATATGAATGTCTTGTATGAACTATGAAGTGTTTATCTCGAATAGATCGATAGTGTTTATTTCGAATACTTAATGCGCCAACTACTTCATCTCTACTGTGTTTATACAGACGAGGATGTATACAAGAGATAGAGAGAGAGAGAGAGAGAGAGAGAGAGAGAGAGAGAGAGAGAGAGAGAGAGAGAGAGAGAGAGAAAGAGAGAAAGAGAGAGAGAGAGAGAGAGAGGGAGAGAGATCAATAGTGCAATAATAATAATCAGATACAATAAAATATTATTAAAGCAATAGTTATATTAACGGAAATAAATTAAAAAAAAAAAAAAAAAAAGAAAAAATACAGAGGAAAGAAAAAAACAAAAGAAAAAAACAGACAAAAGAAAGAAAAGAAAAAACTAAATTAATTATTTAAGATAAAAGTATGTAGAGATAACTCAATAACAAAATACGCATGCATATCTAATGCAAAGTATAAAATAAAAAAGAGAAAGATATGTCATACAGAGGAAAGGAATGTTAAGGTGGGACAAGGACGTTCATTCGCGATCTCGTTTATTCAGTGAAACGAATCGACTTGATGTTCCTCGAGTGCTTTCAGAATAATTCAAATATTTCGATACGCTCGAAAGAGTAGGAAAGACGAGCTTGCTTTCTCTTTTCCCGGTTTTTTCACGCGATTTTCGCGGAAGTTATATTACGCCCACGGTCGGAGAGTTCCTCCGATGGAGTTTCTTTCGATGGAAAGAAATTTCATTTAATGCCGGCGCGGGAATATGTTAGAATTATACATGGATACGAATGCTATTATTGAGCTATGTAAAAAGTAGGAGGAGTTAGGATAAAAGCTATTATGAACGTACGGATGCCAAGATGCGTACGTAAATCTAAAGGCAAGGTACAATAAATATAGATACATACATATATATAAGTACAATATGTATAAGTACGTATCTCTTGTGTCTTATAGCTAGTCGTGTAAGTATAAGTATTTAGATTTCCGCTGGCATGTCGGTTATGTTTATATTTTCCGCGAAAGCTTATGATACTTTTAATAATAGCATTGATAATTTAATCGAGTTTTGGCCTTTTGAAAATTTTAAATGTCGCTATGCGAGGATTAAGAAATAGATAATGTCGACTTATAAAAGGTGAAATTAATTAGTGAGTATAGAAAATTTCGCTTACCGATCTAATGTACTTTCCGATCATATCAGCTAATTGAGGTGCTCTGTTCGTGTGTAGAGGAAGTCTAACGCCAGAGGAAATTTGCAACACACACACACCTGCCCTGGGTGAGCTTATCGAGACGATATCTTCGAGTGGTAACGTTTCTAATATAATTAAGTCGCCATTTGTTGTTCGTTTTATTAATCGGAGACCATGATGCGAGACTGCGACATGTTGCGTTTCCGGATGTTGCGGACCGATCTTTAAACGTTTGGAAATAAGTTTTCAAGATATTTTAATTCGATTATGAAAAAAATAATAAATACTTACCGAAACTGGAAATATTCGAGCGAAGTATAGGGGCCACTGTTTCGCCATATCAACGATATTTTTCTTAATAGTGATCTTGTGTTGAGTACTTTGAAGATTGTCCAATGTAACACCGTAATTGTCGAGCATTTTGAGCATATTTTGACGATCTTCCTTAGTGATTCTGATACTCGACGTAGCCAGGACGTCATAAGCAACTTGACAAAAAACTAAATGAAGAGCCAATGGACTGTTCAAGGTTTCATTGGGTGCGAAAACTTCTTTTTTTACCCTTAACGTCCAACTTACTCTATTGTAAGTGAAATGGGCTGATGACGTTTGAGGATATAATTTTGTGTTTACCACTTCTTGAACTTTTTCAATTTCAGGTTTGTCAGGGGGAGGTAATACTGGTCTGAGAAATTCTGGCCATTCCTCGATCTCGATCCTTTCCATTTTATCAGTACGATGAGTCGACGCAACGCTAGATCTTCTGTCGACTTCTCTATCCAATTTCTTGAAGCTTTGTCGAGCTGCCGAAAATGATTCCCTTGTATTAGGAACGACTCCGAAATCCCTTGGTGATGGCATTCCAAAACTATCCCTAGATTTTGGTGATACATCTCGGGTCATACCGAAAGGATCCCTTTTAGGGCTGGTACTTTCGAAAACATCTCTAGAATATTTTGGATCAAAGATATCAGAGTTCAAGTCTCGACGAGAGTCGAAATCTGATATTCGATCCCTGGTACTAGCCAAATCTGTACTGTCCTTTCCATAAAAGTCCTTGGATTTTTGATCTTGCGACGATCGAGATTTATCAAAGTCATTTCTATATTCGTGATTTTCTCTTAAGTGTTGCTGAGAAGTGAAAATGTCTCTATTTTGGCTAAACATGTCACGTTGATTCTTTGGAAAATGATCGAAAGAATCAGAATCTGGAGATGTTCTGAAGGACTCTCGTGTTTTAGGTTCTATCGGTGCCGGTGGTGACTTTGGTTGTGGTACTCCAGATTGACTATATGAATTAAATAATTAAATATTTTAATTTTACGCATTTTCAATGAATAATCAAAAGATTATATTTGTTAAATACCTATTGCTGTACACGCTTCCACCTCGTGGACTAGGTGGCTGTGGTGGTGTAATTGGAGGAGGTGGTGGTATTGGTCTTTCCATTCTTTCAATTTGTGTTCTAACTACTTGAGCTTGTGTCATCATATCGGTCGTACCTTTGGATGTTACGCTTTGAGTATCATCAGCTGTGGAAGCGTAATCATCCCATCTACCACCTTTACAAATTACCAAAATTATTATGAATTTATCAAACGATCATACATTATATATATTATATAAAAAACGAAAACAAAATTTACACACACAGATATATATATATATATATATATTACCTAATTGTTGTTCCAATAAAAGTTTTCGATTGTCTTCTAATCTCTTCACTTTACCATCCTCTCGTGGTAAGGCAGGCTTTTCTGTAGTTTTTGTAGATCGGACACTGTGATTTGCCGTTACCTTTTCGAGTCTTTGTCTCATCTCTGAACTCAATTTAAGTTTTCCTATACTGCCTGGTGATGGTCTTTGTGCACCTATTTCTAAACTGGATCTATAAAATATATATTTGTATCATAAAAGAATTGATTAAAGATATTAATTATATATGAATTATATCGAACTTACTTGGATTTCTTTTTCTTTTTTTCTCCTTCTTCTTTATGTCCATTTTCATGTCTGTTAACAACACCACTCGATGGATGAACAACCATAGTTCGTTCCTCGTTCCCGACGATATTCTCAATTTCAAATTCCTCCCATTCGACGGTACCTTCGGCGGCCGGTTCAACGTCATTTTGTTGAAACTCCTGATAATGCGGTGTTATTTTTCTTTGTTGCTGTTGCTGGCGCATTTTAAATTCTATGAAACTATCTTGGCTTTGATTTTCGTTAGAATCACTTGGCGGAGGCCATCTGAAAGGAAATGTAATAAATTAAAAATGGTTTGTAAATTACTTTTTTGTTTTGTTTTTTTTTTAATTTTGGCAGTAGCGATGCAATGTCTTCTAACCTCCATTTTCCTATGCGTACTGTTTTGGCTCTTCCATAAGGATCCAAGAAGGGTCTAGATTCGGAAGGATCATGTGATTCAAGAGGCGGTGGCATAGGTGGAGGCGGTGGGACACCTTTGTTGTTACTTGAATTTGATAAATTGCTATCTACGCTGCTTTTTCTATTTTTCAATTCACTAAGAACATTCGTGAAATTGTTTTGTACGTTGCTCTTGTTAGAGCTCGATCTTTTGACATCGGTTGATGCTGAGGATTTTCTATCCACTAATTTCTTCTCATTACTGATCTTACGTGCTCCATATTCCATGCTAATCTTTCTAGCAACTTCAGTATTTTTTCTATCTGGACTTTGAGGTCTATGAATCTGAGCTTTTACCGTCATAGTTTCCTGACGTTGATTATTTTGTATTGATTGCGACGGACTTCCTCGTTTTTCTGTCGACCAAAGTTCACCATCTTCTGGCTCTCGAAAAGAAACCTAATCGAATTAAAATTTATTTTTTCGATTAAAAATTAAATAATAACGGTTTATATTATGAAGAAATAAATTTGTGATCCATAGAAAGAAATGAAAAATTACAGTTTAGATAATTGAAAGTTATTATATAAACGATGATGATATTACACATTCGTTTTCGTATGTGCATAATCGCAACACCATGTACCACTGGAAGTCATGTTAAAATTTTCACTAGGAAAATCACACTTAAGTATATAATCCTGTGCGATCGCCCGTTTAAGCATGATGTATCGCTTTGATGACACTGACCATAGAGGACGATTCTATCTGTTAGATGAAATCTGTAGATACCTTTGAATTGCGTCCTATAGAATCATTGGGCCCCATTTGGGCACTGTTTTGGGGGGCTGGGAGGACAAGATTCATGCTGGAAGGGCCCGTAGGTAACACCATGCCCTGGAAACACACACCCATGCCGCAAACGCGGCTAAGAAACCCAAAGGATCGACAGAAAGAGTGTCCATCCTTAAGAATTACCGCGAAAACGATCACAATTTGTTATTGGATGACAGCTGCAGTGGTCGTGTTAGTGATAGTTACATGGTGACGTGAAAACTTGTGAAATATGAGACACGTGATTTCATACTAAAATATTTGTGATAGTATATACATGCAAGCTTCTCTTTCGAGGTTAACCGTATTATACACGTGATTGTTTTGTGCAAATATAACGTGATATGTATATTTATATATATCTATATACTTCTATATATATATAGAAGTTTTTAAACCGAAGCTGTCAAAAGTATTCATTGTCATTCGAACAATATTCTAGATGATTTGCGTGTAAAGAATTGCAGCAAGTGTTTAGAGATTGAAAATATAACATAATTGGAGGACACAGAAGAAATATCGTTATTTTTTTGATAACACTTTCTCACCGGTTGTTGCGAGGAATTCTGTGGGCTTTGGACTAGTAATTGTTGAAGCGCCTGATTTTGAGCTAAAAGTTGTTGCTGTATTTGAATATTTTGCGCCATCGCGCTCTGTAGGAAAGCCCTTTGGAGATTCTGTTGATAAGCTAACATCTCGTTGTTCTGATTTGGTGGTGAGTTCGGATATTGTGGAAGACTAAGTCCTTGCATGCTGTAAATAGGGATCGGCATAAATCCAGGATTCATGTTTAAATTTGTATTTTGAGCAGGTGGGATCTGTTGTGGTGGACTGAACATCGGCATCATCATTGGTGGTGACATTACGCCTGGTGTTATTGGACTAAAGTTGAAGGCCGCATTTTGATTAGGAATATCCATATTACCACCACCATCACCTTTTATCTTTTTGCTCAAAATATTAGCCGTCAGACTTTTCTCTCCAAGATTTCCAATCATATTACCGATAAAATCTTGAACACTTTTCGCAATTTTATTTTCTTTTATACTTTTTTCTATCATCAATCCGTCAAACGAGTTTTTATTGCTCGTACCCTTGATGCTTGCTGCGAGACTTCTAGCATCAGAAAGCTCGTCAAGATTTCCATCCAAAACTGGCATAAATAATTCGTCGAGAAATTGATCAACGTCCGACGCTTGGCTAGGTACTCTAACTCGTCTTACGTGCGACGCCAATGAAGGTGCTTCACTAGTGTCGGACATTGCTGACGATTTCACACCATATTCGCTTTTCTCGATGTAAGCACGACTCGATTGGCTACCCGGTAGAGCACGTTTGCCTGAAAGTCAATAGTACAGTTAATTATACGTGATCTAATTTAGTATGTCGTTGACTTAATCAAAGATTTACCAGGATATTGAGATTTAATAAATCTAGTTTGCGATCGAATGTAACTGCTTTTATCATCTTCGGATCGACCAGTTTGACTGACCGATTGTATATCAGGATACTCAAAATCGATTGTAAGATCTTCTTCCTCAACGATATTTGGTTCTGTTATCCTTGTTATTCTACTGTATTTTCTTTCCTGGGCAACTTCATTCCTTGTCATGTATTCAGCATTGGTGACCGTAGATGTTTCGCCTATTCTCTCGAGACTGTGATAACGCTCATTTAATTTCGAAGAAGAAAGACCAAGATCAGCGAGTTTGTTAGGTGGTATCACCACTTCGGGTTGAAGCAAGTTGTCTAAGCTTCGACTTCGTTGCTTTTCTTTCTCGAAGTAACGATCGTTTAGGGCGGACTTTCTAGATAATCCGGTCTCCGTCGTTGTCTCTAAGATCGCTTCGTGAGATTGCTTTCTTACCTTTATAGGGACAAATCATTCCACTTAATTTGTTAACGCAATTCGATTTCTAACATTTTAATCGAGCAAAGAGACAAATTTATTGAATCCTTACGATCATTAATCTTTTTCCTCACTGATATTTTTTCTTGTTTTATTATATAATACTTACTGGCGGTTTTGAAACTGGTGGTTGTGGTGGTGGTACTGCCGGACGTCTCGGTGACTGAATTTCCGGTTCAACCGGCTTATCCACAACTTTCGGTACGGATTTCCTTTCAAGTGGTTGGAAGGTTTTCAAAACTGGTGTCTCTATTTCTTGCTCCAACTCTCTAATTACTTGTGCATGCTGAAATAAGGTTTATTAGCACGTTTTAATGTTGTTTGAATAATCAATTTGTAACTTTCACGGATTTTTAGATGTAAGACTTACGTCTCTTTTTTTAATAGGAGGATAACTGTTCTTTCGTTGTTCAAGGAACATGTGTTTAGCTGCTGGGAATGCCGGTGCCAATTCCATTTCTGAAATTAAGTCAAGAACGTAATCGCAACCGTTAGTTTCGGTTACGATAGCATCAGGACCGTCTAATTGATTCCAAAGCGTAATGGTCCAACCAGTATTGTCAACCCCATGATTTTGTACTGCGAGATTAGCTAATTCCTCGCACGTTGTCCAAGAATCAACGGCGCACGTTGTCGTTTCACCTATTATTAAATTTGTACATTCTAATTTTTCTAACGAAATTTAAAATATACATTTACACGTATCAATTTGTTTTATATTTCACCATCATAGAATCCAACGTTGAGAGCCATGTTTACTCGGTTCCTGTTTGCTCGCCACTCCAAGACACATGGTGGATAATTTCTTGGTACATGTTGAACGATTTGTTGATTGTTACTCATTATTCGAAATACAGTTCTTTCACCTTGAAGAAGCTTACGTTGACAATAAGCTTTATAACCATCGTAAGCATGATCGGACACATACCTATGTGTAAAAAATATTGATTGCGAGATATTTCAAAAAAATTGAGAAATTAACAAATTCAACGAGAAAAAAAAAAGAAGAGAGGACTTACTTGAGTAAATATTTGAAAAGAGTAACGCTGGGTTGAAATGCTGACAAGCAATTGGATAACAGAAGCCATCCTCTTTCTTTATTAGCATCATTTTCGTTCTTCCATGTTTGATTGGCTAATTGACAAAGTATTTCATCCCTTAACTTTTCATTAACGATTCCTTTATTAACGATATAATCGCCTAAAGCCTGTTCCCTTTTTCCACTTAAATTATTCTCATTCATGAAACGAAGTATCATTTTGAAGATCATCAAGGAGTCCGTATAATCTTGATCTCTAGCCTTCGTAAGAAACGGTGTTTTTATGGGTTCTCTTTTCATACCAAAAATATGACTCTTGAAGTAAATATTGGTGTACTTCGAAAATTGATGTTGATCGATATCAGATGGTAAGGCATACGTGTGCGGCATGGAGATCACTTGACCCACTACTTTCAAAAGATTTCTTTCCGTATGAGTCGGTTGCCAATCTGCAAAAGAATAATTATTATAAATAATAAGCGGATTACGTGAACGTGAATAGTTAATTGAAAGTAATGAAAATTAATTGAAAGAGTTTTAAAAGAATAGTAATAGTAGTAGTAGTAAAAGTAGTAGTAGTAGTAGTAAAAGTAGTAGTAGTACTAGTAGTAGAAACGATAGTAGAAAAGGCTGAAACTAAAGATAATTGTTCATATAGGAATTGAAATTATTGTGAATAATCAGTCAATTAATTCTCTTCAATGCGTACCGTCAAGCTTACTGTAAATGAACGCAAGTTCGGCAGGAATTTCGAGATGATTAACACCGGCTACGGCTCTTGATGCTCTCTCTTGTTCCTCCCTTTGCTGTTTAGCCTTAGCACGTTCCTTGCTTGCTCTCTCGATTTCAGCTCTCTTAGCCATTTCTTCCTTCAGGACTTTGAACTTTTCGCGTTGCTTCTTACCTCTGTAGAGTTTCTGCGCTATTAAAACGCCCTTTTTAAGAGCACTGAACATCTTTCTCTCACGATATCCACGATAAGCAGCTTGAATTATTACTGCGCTCCTGGAAACGTTCAGAAATCTTCTCCTAGCTAAGAAACCACGCGTGTATCTATAAAACAAAACGTTTCCAATGAAGAATCATCGTTCGCTTGAAAGTCAAATTGACTTCAGTTTATGGTATTTTTATTTTTCTCTTCCCCCGCCTCCCTCCCCCGGCCTAGCTTACCTTTGAACGGTAATAGCTGCTCTTTCCAAGATCAAAGCCCTGTTATATTCCAAAGTTCTTTCCAAGGATTCTCGTAGAAAAACACGAGTTAATCCAAGCTGGTATTGAGATTGGGCTTCTTTTGGCGCTGCTTTGTCTAATATTATCCTACATAGTTCCTTGTTTGGTGCTCCTCTGGGTAAATGCGTGGTTACCAAATATCTGTATCTATCAACGAAATGACCGAACAACAGACGAACTGGATAACCTGTCTTTCTGATTCGAATTGTTTCTAACATGCCGGTGTAACGTAATTGTTCAAGAACGCAAGGCATGTCGAATTTCATTGGTGCTTTTTCTGTATTTGGTTTAATACACCTGACGAACCATGGATTGCATCTGTTAATCGATGTGAAATAAGAAGTATTAGATGAACAAGCGACAAGATAAAAGACAAAGGTAAATGTCATATTTTAAAAGGAGTATAAACTTACTGTGACATAGAATCCAAAAGTTGTTGAAGACTGTCGTGAAATCTAGCTGACACGGTAGGCGTTCTTGGTTTCATTGTGACGAATCGACCATTGGGTTTATTCACAGTTTTGTTAGCCTCGTGCGTAGTCCTTACATGTTGAAACATTTTACTAACCATCTAATGAATATAATCGATTATTAACATATTAAAAGATATAGAAAATTTAACATCATTCACGCAATACACTTACCGATATTTTACTGCTAATCAATAATTCTACAACGTCTGCTCTGAGGGTATCTCTGTTTTTATCTAAAAATCCTTCAACGTTATACCAAACTTGACCAGCATAATGTTTAATCGCATATTCCGCGGAATTCATTCTTGGTCTTGAATACAATTCGCTCAAAGCATGATTATAGTGACACTTTTCTAAGAAGGAAAGATCCGTTGCTTTGGGAAAATTACTTTCGTCATCTAATAAATGAAGAATACCAACTGGTTTCTTAGCGATAAGATGTATCACTGGCAGATTATCCTGTTATCATAAATTTCTTGATTATCGTCTTTTGAAGACGAATTAATTATATCTTATTGTAAAAAGGAATAAATATTTTATTCTTACGGTATATGTAATGGTTGTCCAATCGATCTTTTCCTTAGCATATTCTTGCTGTTCCAATTTGAAAATATGTTTGTTGAAATAAAATTGAAGATTCTCGTTCGCGTAATTAATACATAATTGTTCGAAGCTATTTTCAGCAAAATTTTCGAAACCGAATATATCGAGGATGGAAATAGCAGCTGTTTGTTTCGTTCCTTTATAAACTATATGATTAACGCGTGCTACGAGCCATGAAAAAAGTGAACTGTACAAAGCTTTTGCAAAAGCGTCTCTCGCGTCGAGAGCTTGATCGATGTTCAAAGCGGTGAAAACTTTCTCGTTTCTTGCCTCCTAAAATCGCGAAGAAATTTCTTTTTTATCCGTACAATTAATTTTATTTTCAATAAAAATTTTAATTTAAGTCAAAACTCACAGTAGTTTTTGTGGTGAGTGCTCTAATGATACCATCGGTACTGATTTGAAGAAGATGAGCAGCCCAACGTATTTCGGCATCCGAGCCAACTTCAACACCTTCTTGACCATGTCTCATTTGTTTACGATGGAAATAAACATTACCGAGATGTAATACACTAGCTAGGATCTTAAAAATCGTGTCCTGTTCCTCAGACGTGAAACCTAAGACTTGCATCGCCGAGAGAAGAGCTTTGAAATCTTGAGTATCGCCCTTGCCATCGATCTCACAGTTCCCACCCTTTTAAAATTTAAAAATAAAATAAATAATATTTTGAATGAACTCGCGAAATATTATAAATTTATAATGATTTAAATAAAATTAATTTGATCCGTATTATACCTGATTCAAATAAAAATATTTATCCGGTGTAAGTAATCCATATTTATCCCTGAGTTGTTGATCGAGCCCAGCTAAAAGCTCATAGAAAACGTGATAATTTCTTTCCTCTGAGGCTTGTGTGACTATTCTACTTTTCTCTAAAAGATATTGGGTTATCCTGCCGCCTACTATGACACCGCTAAAAGTATGATCGAATGAACGACGTAAAGTTAATTCAACCAAAAAATTGATAAGACATAGAAATATCAGTAATGACACTCACTCTCTAAAATGAACCTCTAAATATTTTCCAAATCTACTGCTATTGTCGTTTCTCGGTGTTTTCGCATTCCCAAAGCTTTCCAGTAACGGCGTCGCCTCGAGAATTTGTTCCGTGACCAGATTGTTAGGTGCACGGTTCACGGCCGCTAAATACTGCATCACCAGTTTCGTCGATTCCGTTTTTCCTGAACCGGATTCCCCGGAAATGACGACGACTTGATTGGCACTAGCGTTGTTGGCTGCAGTTACCTGGCTATAAGCCGAAGATCCTACAGCAAAGAGATGCCTACAAAAGAAATAATAAAATGATTAATGAATTAAATCAATAGATATATAAGCTACCTATCAGTTTACTTCTCTCGTTTCATTTATTGGCTCATTTAACCGGAAAATAGTATTATCGTAAAATTTACGATAGAGTCTTTTTCCATTGTGTTACTCATATCGAAGAATTCGATTAAGACGATCGATCGATCGATACTTACGGCGGCAATGTGCCAAGAATCCGGCCTTCATAAAGTTTCACCTGGTCCAGACCGTAAATGTCGAACATTTTGTACGGATTTACAGCGACGAGAATGCTGCCCGTGTATGTCTGTAGTTATTACGAATAAACATTAATAAATCAAAAAAAAAAGAAAAAGAAAAAAATAACATATAGGTTCGACATACGGAAATCGATTTTTTTAAAAGATTTAAAACTTACATAAATTAGTTCCTTATCATAACGGATCTTCAAATTCCATAATAACGACGCCTCGTTAAGGTCACTGGAATTTTAATTTCGTATAAGTAGAGAGAAATCGATCGATTATTACGATGTATATAAGTACACTACGTTACGAGGTATATAAGTATGCATGTATATACATATAAAATAGTAAATGGTCATAAAAACTTACGACAACTGAATCATATCTTCGACGCCATTTTGTCCGAGATCTTGCCTCGGTCTCACTCCGCTTAGATTTGTCAGGGTGAATATCTGCGGCTACAATCAATACGTGTTTCTTTAATAGATCATCCTTGATCGTCATTCGAACATTTCAATTTTGGCGATGCTAGCGGCATCGCGATAACATCAAAATTCATTGTGTCATGTTACTCCTACGCAATGTTACTGTAAACCGGTGAACCGGGTTTTAGTAATTTCTCCGTAACCTTGACTTTGGTTTCGTTAATTCCGTATGAAATTCCCACTTCTTTTTTTTTTGTATCCTGAATAATTCCTATATTTTTAAGGATCCTTTCAATCTTCTTAAGCAAATTGGTTAGTTAATCTTATTAGTCTAAGATAACATCGTTTATTCTAGTATACCAACTAATTTTTTATTTCCAATATAATTGCATAGAGAAAAAGAGAGAGACAGATAATTATCGAATTAAACTAATCAGGTTATCACAATCCTTCTACTCTCTCATTCTATTTCTCGACTCATTTAGCTGAGAAATAGTTTTATCGATATATTTTATATTAACATGTTTTTTTTCATTATTCCTTTTGATTTTTTTCGTTAAATTTATAAATAAAATTTCCTGAAGTTGTACTGCCTTACTTCGTACACCTTCGTGGAACTTTCATGACAGTGTCTTTCTTCACGGCACTTTTTACCACGTTTTCTCGATAACTACAACCCAGCCTCTCCCTCAAGAGAAAGAGAGAGAAAGAGATAGAGAGACAGAGAAGCAGAGACAGAGAGAGAGAGAGAGAGAAAGAGAGAGAGAGAGAGAGAGACTGAGAGACAGAGACAGAGAGAGAGAGAGAGAGAGAGAGAGAGAGAGAGAATGTCAGGCAAAAAAAGGAAGATTTGTGCGAATTCACATAAGACGCGAGAGCCACTCACGTGAGACCTAACCGGATACCGGCCTGCTTGAGTTTGTAGTTGCAATTCCATTGGCGTCGAGCTCATTCCAGTGCATGTTTGTAATATAATGTATGTAGGATTCAACCGCGAAAAAATATTAGTCTCTCTCATTTTCTTGGCCGACAAGCTACACCAAAACGGAGTACAGGTGAAATAAGTTTTCTTTTCCTCGAAAACCGGTCTGTTTCACGGAGGAAGGTAATAAAGAATGTTACATCGGCAACTCATTCGTAAATGAACCCTATTTCCTGTAATCCTGATTATCTACCACGGTTAATAACTTCTACCGTTTTGCTTTTTTTACAATTCATTAATCATACTTTATTAATTATATTACTTTTGCAAGAATTTTCCTATTATCTTTTATTTATAAATCGTTAAAAATTTAACATGCTTCTTATACGAATTTAGATTTATCATTCATTACGCTCATGAGAAATGTCATTTATAATGCGACACCGTTGAACAATACTTTTAACATCGACGAGCTTACGGACTCGAAACAAAGCACCGACAGGAAGATAAATATGTTCATTGTTAAATCAAAGCACGTGAAGACGATTTGTATCGATCGTGTAATTAAATAACGAACGGAGTCGAACATGATTCGTTTTTATCATTGGGTGATATTGATTTTTTCAATTGTGACTTGAGCTATATTACATAAAAGAAGAAATTTATCGGTGTTTCCAAAAAATTATTCCAATGATTATACTTTAGTTCTTAAATTAACGTTAATTGGAACGCGAGTTTATATAAAAAATTTATTAATTTCATATTAATTCGATTTAATTTTTCATATAATTTTTTATTTAATTCTATTATGTCGGAAGTAGGAAGGATCGATCGATGAAAGAAGAACGTCGAACGTTCGCGTTCCTCTTACGATGTCCTTGGAACCTGAAAGTCTACGGAGAAGTGTTGCAAGTGCCGAGGCAACACGTTACTTCTTATTATTTTTTTTTTTTCTTCCGATATGCACTTTCACGCCACGATCGGACGTCGGTATCGGCGGTCTATCGGCTCACCACACGTAATTTTGTTATACAGGCCACTTTCGCGGAAATATTTCGAGCTATCCGCCATAGTATGCACGGCATCCGAATAATCTACACCGTGTTTGATTGGACTTTCTAGCCGTTCTACCATACACGTACATCCCTTATTCATTTGTATATTCCGTTAGTTAGACAAGACGAGAGCTCGACTCTACGTCATTCATGCTCTTTCTCTCTCTTTCTTTCTCCCTCCCTCTTCTTTTTATTCTTCTTCTTTCCGGCGTTACGTCGTCTATTTATCGGCGTAATTTGATTCTCACAAATCCCTATGGCAAGGTAAAACTTTTATAAAAGAATCTCAGAAAAAGTCTGTTCGAGCGATCTTTGATGGTTGATTGGATTTAAAAAAAAAAAGAAATAAAGAAACTCCGTGAGATTAATTACAAATCGATAAAGTAATGAAATTGATTTAACTATTGATTGAAAACAATCAGCTGACTCATCGTTTCGTGATAATTCATTGAAGGAATCGTATTTTCTGTACTATTCCAATGAGACTACGATTGTGGGTCAGTACGCGATGTATGCATGTGCATATGTGTATGTGTATGTACATACATATGTAAGACGTCGATGAAGAAGAAGCGCGAGAGAGCAACGACCTCTTTTCGTTCAAGAAAGTGAAGCTTCAGACCGCAACATGTTCACCGCTTACTATTCAGTTACAAGCGGTCTGCCTTTTAATCATTTTCATTTTTTTTTCTTCTCCTTCATACGTGCGATGATCAAACTTCCCTAGTAAAAGTTGCGTTTATCGTGTCGTAACGAAATTTTTTTGTTGATTCTTACCTTGCCAGCAATTACGGCTTGAACTGAGAGGACATTGGCGGCTCTATGATACTCCAAAACTTCACCTGGTAAAACATGGCCGACACCGGGGTCGAACCATACCAATTCACCCTACGGAAAGAAAAAAAAGACGAGTTTTATAACAAAATCATTTGGGATTAATGACAAATCATTGGCGTCAATTATCTTACTAAGAAAATGTTTTTTGGATTCTTTGACAGAGGCAATTTTAAGAAAATTTTTTTCAAGGTAAAAACTCATGAAAATTAATTAATTTTCTTTTTCTTTAAAAGTTAACATTTTAAAAAACGTAGAGAATACTTTACAAAACAACGTTTAAAAAAATTTTAACGAAGTATATAATAATCACGATTATTATGAAAAATTCCAAAAAACAGAACATTTTAATTTCTTTTGATAAATATAAAGCACCGTTTTTAAGTGCCACCGCGGATAGGAAAATTCAACGTTCATAGTTTTCTCTTTATTCGTCTCTCTTGCTTGAACTCTTCTCTTTCCTGTACAGAATCCAAAAATCGAGGAACTCGTCGTGACAGTGGATGACTTAGAACGGGCTATGGTATCGGTCTCGCTACAATTCCTCGAGTGAGTAGCAGCAACAGCAAGAGAAGCAGCAGCAGCAACCATGCCGGCTGATTTCTTCAGGCAATTCGATCTCTCCTTCGTTAACTTCGACAACGTTCCAGTTTCTCTTGATAATCGTCTCCGATCGTCGAAATTTTGCGGCTCGGTACAAGCCGCGTGAACGGACACGCTGGAAGTGGAAAACTTTCTCGATGTTTTTGCGTAGCTTGGAAGTGTACTTGACAATCTATTAAACGGCATTGATGCGACCGAAGGAAGATTTTCACGATTAGAGTTACGAATTTCTATCAACCTGCTTTGAGATTTCGATCTGTATCTACTATCGTGCGTTTTATGCCGAACGGAATTCTCCAATTGATAATAATCATTCTTAGGATCGATTTTCGATATTCTACAGATATCTTGTCGTTCTTGACCGGTTAAACCGTCGTATCTTGAGAGTTCACCAAGACGATCGTTCGAATTTAAATTTGATCGTACATAAATCTTTTCCGAATTAGTTTGAATGAAATTCCGATCGTCCCTCGCGCGAGATACTTTTCTTCTATCCAAAGATTCAGACTGAACTGCGTTTTGAATAATCCTTCTCCTGGACATTGCTTGATGAACACTAGTTTCCGGTTCGATCTTTTCAATGTCATGAGATATGCCAGTTTTTCGAGATACCTTAGCATAAATTGCATTCTTTTTCATATCTGTAGACTTCATAGTAGCTTCTGCGAGATTCGAGTCAGATTTAGCTCGATAAGTAAAACCGTCAGGAAGAGGATGATTTCTTAAACGTCTATTGATTTTGCCAACGAGAGAATACGTTTCCAGAGTGTTTGATCGAGAACCTTGTGAATTTTTACGAGCCTTCATGTACCTGGATAGAGTATTTGAATTTGAGGAGTCCTCGAAAGAAGCTGCAATAGGTAAAGATGTTTTTCTTCTTCTTATCCTACCATAAACCGGTGGCTCTTTCTTCACGGGATCTGATCTGAAATAACACCAATCTTCGTTGCCACTACGGGAGGATCTTGAACCGTGTACGATCTTGGGCAAGGTCGACGGTCTTGGTACAAGGTCGCGGTTAATGTCCCGAAGCGTGTCGCTAATTGTCAAGAGATCAGAACCAGCCGGAGATCTAGAATCACATTCTTCTTCTTCATCTTTGCCCCACCTAGCACGCTGCAAAGAGCCTGTTGATCGTGCTGCTCTTGACCTGGTGTCATTCGAGACGCTCGTCGACGTACTCGAGTTAGATCCAATCGTGTTACCTTTTACCTCAAGACATTCTTTCCCACAGACACTCTTTCCAGTGAGCCGAGTTGAACCTCCGTAAGAGGTCGCTCGAAGCGTAACAACGTCCACACTGTCTCTCCTTCGGAGGATATCTCGTCTGGAGACTTGTTTGAAGTCTCTTTCAGTTCGTAGTCTTCTTCCCATCGAAGGAAGAGTCTTTGGTCTAATACGTTCATCGTCGATCTCGATCGTTGAACGTACCCGACAATTTGGCCGAAGGCTGTCAGTAAATCTCGTATCGCCGAATATATCATCATTCTTCGTGCAGCTTTTCTTGAGGATCTCTTTTCTCGAGATCGCTGACACGCATGGAAGAAAGGATTCTCGTTTGATCGATTTATTTGTCGTTGAATTTTTACCGTTATCGCTTTTATTAATTCCTGTCCCTGTTGTTATTCCGTGGTTCCTAGGACGACCGGAAGTCTGATATCCTTTGCTCGTTCGTTCCGCCGTTCCGCAAGAATTTGGAGCGGAATTCGCATCTGGGTCTGGGCCGGCAGAATTATGCAATGCACGTCGAGCGGATAACGGTTTCACGCTCGCGTAGAAAGCCTCCGAGCGTGCATTTCGCGATGACGTCAAAGAGGAGGAGGAGGATGTCGTTGTTGTCGTTGTCCTTGTCGTTTTCGTTGTTGTTGTCGTTGTCGTTATAGTTGTCTGTGTCCTCGAAGAAGCGGATTTCTTCGTGCTGCTAGCACAACTCGACGTTCTGTTCATCCCGACGATCAATCCACTCTGTCTCTATATCTCTTTGAAAATCCATTAATTCTCGTCTCACCCACGCGAGAAAGCACTGTTGGTCACAGTTCGTACCTTTCAAGGTCATCGAGCTACCATGCGCGAGCATACACGTATGCACGTAGCTGAACTCATCGTCAAGAATGGAGAAATCTCTGATGATGGAAATTCTCCCCTTCCTATCGAAATCCCATCGGACGTGGCTTCTCGAGAATTCGACTTTCTCGTATCGTTTCACAATGGTACTCGATAATCGATCATATTAACTCGTTTCTTTGTTCGCAGCTGTTATTTGTGAAATTCATTCGTTCACTCATTAACTCATCTAGTATAAACTGGTTCGACGTTCTAATTGCGAAGAAATGAGACACTCTACCTGAATCAAATCTCGTTTAACCCATATCGTAGCATTTAACGATGCATCCTTGCAAATACACCAAGATGCTTAGAGTTCGCTTTCCCGAAGACTCGCTTGCGAGTTATCCTTTGCTCCGGTGTAGATAGATATATGAAAGTTCAAACAAATGTCAGCAACTAGCGGTCGAAGACACCGATACCAGTTTTAGTTCCACTTAAATATCGACATATTTCTGGTACTCCATGACAAGTTCGTGGACTCGACCTCGTTGCCGACTCGTTAGCGTTCTTTTGGCGTGTCCAGTTCGCATGTGATACGCTTATATAGTTTCCTCTTTCCTCTCGATCCTTTCCTCACCGTAAATCTTCGTGAAAATTCTAAGAGAATCGAATCGGTATCCTCGTTTGACGACGTGATATTTTTTTTTCTTTTCTTTTGCTTTTTTTTTGAGTTTATCGACACTCGGCGCGGCGCATGTTAAGTTTCGGCTTAAGGAAGTTAGGAGGTCACGGACGAGGCTTCTATCGAGTTTATTGGGTTAGTCAAGCTCGAAAAATTCCTGCTGCTCACGTAGAATTCGTTAACGGTTCCATGTCTTGAAACGTCGTTCGAATGTAATCAGGTAGTTTTGAAGGTAGTAGTATTGTTTTTTTAAAGGTACGTCGAGATTTGGACGATACGAAACGATTTTGGATCGTTGAAAAAAACAAAAAATCACGTAGGTCCTTATTTCTTCGTCGAAGAAAAATTTCGAATTGGATCCGAACTCGAGGATGTTCGATGCAGCACTGAGACTAAGTTGGAGGTTCTTCGCTCCGCAACAATTGCTTCGTGCGCACAGTGGCGTATACGTTTTTAATTAAAGCACAAGTTTAATTACCGTGCATAAAGATCACAGAATGAAGATTTCGATTTTGAATGCGACGAGCCAAACGAAACTCGTTCTTTTAAGTATTTCATTAACAACTTCTTCATTTCCTCCGATCGCGGCGACTTTGAAGACTCGTCTAATAGTTGAGTAGAAAGATCAGAGGTTTCTTAAGTTCTTGTAATATTAACGACGACGATGCTGACGCCAGTGAATCGAAGTGCTTTGGGGTGGAACCAACCGTGCCTCTCTTCTTATATAAATTACGCGCTAAATACGTGTACAAACTTATATAGCAGTGTTAGAGACGGTGGATATTAAGCTCGGACTTGGAAAACGAACGGGAAGCGAATCTAATGAGCGTTGTGCTACAGACGCAACGTCTCTGTCGATTGTAAAAACTGATTGCATTCGTAAAAGAGTATTATTTTCGCATGAAATGTGTTACTGAATTTCGAGCCTCGATGTATCTATGTATGTGTATACATATATATATATATATATATGCATGTATGTTTATATCTATGTATAATATGGGTGAATATGTTTTACATTTTTTCTATGTTCTTGTTTTTTCCTTTCCATCTTTTTATTTTTTCATTTCATCCAAGTGTTGCAGAAAAATTCACTTCAAACATTTTCCTCAGTCTTTATGCGAGAAGTATTTTGCATACACACACATATATATATATATATGTATGTATGTATGTATGTATGTATGTATGTACGTATGTATACATGTATGTCACAAATGTATTCTATTTCAACGTACAATAGAAAGATATGTGAAGAAAAAAGAAAAAATAGAAAAAGAAAAGTGTTAAACGTAATGTCGTAGCAAGAGATATTCCAGACGAATTATTTCTCGCATGTAAATTCTTTTATATACACGTGTAAGTACCTCCGCGTATTCCACTACGTTTTCACTTTTACTCAAGTTAAAAGCCCGCGCGCTCGTTCAGGGGTAATTACCTTCGGAATTGTTAAATCGTCCTCATCGGCTATACCGAGTACTGGGAAACGCCATCCTGTTTCTCTCTCTCTCTCTCTCTCTCTCTCTCTCTCTCTCTCTCTCTCTTTCGTTTTATTTATAAGAATTATTTATTATACGAATATATTTATTAATATATTTATACGTGTAAAATTGTCATGAATGTTTCCAAAAATATTCGAGAATTGTAAATCCCAAAAAGTATTTAAAAAATTCGTTTAAAATCTCGTGTTTTCGTGATCTAATTAAATAAATTGTAAAATGCAAGACAATATAAATGTGTATACAAGTCGAGACAATACTTTTTCATTCACTATCTTCAGGATGAAATAAAAAATTTATGATTGGAATTACGATACGTATATCATTGAAATAAAAGTATTTAATATAAAATAAGAAATATTCAAAATTTTATTCATTTACATCTTCTCTGTATTATATCCATTTATATTATTATTTTTGTTCTTATTAATTTATTTTTTATATATATTTATTTTATATATATATTTTATATATATATATATTATCGTACAAAATCTAAACAAAATATTTTTATTTCTAAAGATATTAAATAAAAGGAATAATTATTGACTCGCTCTGTATATGAATATGATGAATTCAGTAAAATAGGATTGTTTTCATCAAAAGTTATTTCATAAATCGTTGCCTCGAATGATAACAAGCATCAACGTTGCCTAATCCCTTAGCTAGTTTGAGAACACCTCAAAATCTTCTCTCTTCTCGATGTTGTTCAACAGTAATGTGAGGAACGTGCAAAGGCATTCGAAAGTTGCCGCGGTTACACGACGCAATTGCGTGTGCCTAGATCATTGACACCGAGCGCAAGCAAAAGGTGATCCTAGCGCAAGATCGAGACAACGTAAACAACACCATGATAAAACCGTGGCCATCCCTTCGTGGGAAATATTTTTTTTTTCCTTTTTTCAAGACTTTATCGACCTTCTCCCCATTTTTCTTTCTTTTTCTTGAAATTCATTAAGATAAGCTTAATTCATCTCATTATTCATTATTCATTATTTATTTCTATTGTTGATATAAAAAGTATGAAGAAAGAAAAAAAGAAGTAAATGTTATAATCCTCACGATTGTAAATTTTAAATATATAAAGAGAATTTAATTTTCTCAGAATAAAAGATATAAAATCGAATAACTTTCGTAATCATAAATGTTGGCAAATTTAATTCATTAATCATAAAATGTCCAACATTGGAATGGATTATAGTTGTTATTAGTTCACGATACATCACGATGTGTTGTGAAAATCGTTAAAACGTACAATGTGTTCTATGTGTCCGACTTAATCTAATCGACGAAAGAGTAGAAAACCTGTCTTGATCGAATCTAGGATGATCGGTTGTTACGTGAGTTAACGAGATCGAAGAGACGTCATTCGAGTTTAACGTGCATGAAGTTCGTCATGAAAACACGCAATGGATACACGAAAATAGCACTTTCTGTGTGTTCGCGTTTAAAGGAAAACTGTTTTGAAATTACTGAGAAAGATATTATGCAACGTTTGCTGCACCCAATAAAGAAAAAAAGAAAGATACACATGAAACGACTTTCTTATTTACTGATTTTGTGTTAATATTACTATAAATTTACGACTTCTTTCTTGTCGTAAGTATCGTGTTTCTTTATATCCGGAAGTTTATATAATATTTTTGCATTAAAATAATAAAATCCTTTCATTCGAAACGAATTATCCGAATTGCTTATCTCAAGTTGATCATTTCTTCTTATTAAAAATGACGGCTAGAAATCATTCTTACCTTTTGCCACTCAGCGTACATCTTGAAATGAGATTAGGCTGATCTTCGAATGGTACCCGTTATCCACATTTTGTACGCTACCTCAGTTTCAGCTTCCTATTTCTGAAAAATTACAAATTAAAATTGTCAATAATATAACGTGTGAATGAGATCGACATAACAAATCATTATTTCTCTTACAATAATGATATAATATATACTTGAAAAAAAAGAAAGAAAGAAAAAGGAAAAAAAATAAGACAGAAAAAAAATGTCGTCGAATTATTTCGATTAAATTTTTAATTCTTAAACTATCATTTTAATGAGCACAATTTTACGGCGATCAACGTGCCATATGTATGGAAAACGTAAGAATGAGGGCTTGTGCAATGCATTATGCAACTCCTCGCACGACACAACTTCGTAAGATCATCGATGATCACGAACGATGACGTACTATGCATATTCGCGACAAGTTCGTAAAGAAAAAATAATTATTATTCCATCGATGGCTTCTAACGGACACATCATTTCACGAGCTCCTTAACTTCATCGACTTCCTGATTCATTCGGCACGTTCTTCATTCGATTGAATTTGACATTTGTCCATTAAGAAAAATAGCGGAGTAATTTAATTCATTGGATTTTAAAGTAGGTCAAAATCAAAAAAGCGAAGAAAAAAAAGTGGGAAACGCGCGAAAATTAATATTAAGTAACTTGATAATCAACTTTTTCTAAAATAATTTATTATGAAAGTATTTTGAGTTACGTATATACACTTTTGTTTATTGAAGGTAAAACTTTTTTTTGTAGTATGTAGATAATGATAGAAAAGAGGACAAACAATGCATTAAATTTGTGATATTTCATCTGTAGCTTTGGATTATTTAAGATGAATTTAACACTTTTTGAGGAGATAGACCGAGACCTTGAAAGACGATTCAACCGAGCGGAATGCGGATTCTCCGATCATTTAAAAAGTAATCTTATAAATTGGTGGCCGAAATGATTGGATGTGACGATGGTATTTTCAATCGAAAATATCATGATGGACCCAACCCGAGAAAAGAATTTTCTTCTTACGTAAATATTTATACATATACATTTACGTACGTAATATATGTATATACAGAGACTTCCCTCCTTCGCGTGAAGAAACATCGATATCGATCGCCTCCTGTTTAAGAAATGCCGGAAATTTCGTAAGAGTATCTACGTGTTAGTGTTATCTTAAGAAATAATATGTTACTCCTATGAGTAAGTTATAATACCTATATGTTAATTTTTTTTTCTTTTCTCTTTCTTTCTTTCTTTCTTTTTTTTCATTTTTCCATTTTTTCATTTTTCTTTTTTTTCTTTTTTTGTTTTTCTTTAAAGACAATATTGCATATAAAATTTCTAAGTTCTGACTGGGTAGTTCCAAATAATGATAAAGTAACATCGAGCATAATATTAGAGCGCATATAACATCGTATCATATTATACAATATTAGAAACTTGTAATCTCGTTTGCACAATAACAAATTATTTACATTAATATTTATTTTTCGAAATCTATCTATGTAATATAATTAAAGGTATAACAACGTAAGAGTTGAAAATATCGTGTATATTATTTAAATCCATACAAAACTTAATAATCGTTCATTCACAAAGTTCAAAATGACATTAGAAGAAACATCTATGGTTTCCTCATTGGAAGATAAAGACAGTGATCATTGAAACGGATGAGAAGAAGAAGAAGAAGAAGAAGAAAAAGGAATAGAATGAGAGTCGGAATAGGCATCGATCATGCGTATAAATGAGCGAGTAAAAGTTTCTTAGCCGTTATTCACCACTCATACGACTAGCTTATGGAATGTATTTCGCAATCTTATGTTAATTTTATTAGTCACCCTCGATCTCTGTTGCTCTCGCGTATTTCTTTAACTTCATCCACGTGTTTGAGACAACATTGAACGAAGGATTTAAGATCTCATGTCCTACGAAGTTCTATGATTTTTCTTGGAACGGATGAAGTTCTAGATCTAATATCGTTTAATCGAAAGTCTGTAAAAATTGTATAAACTACATTGTTATTCTTTAATCAATAGAGAAATCGTCTTTCTGGACTTGTATGTCTAGTAATGTGTCTTTAATCACTTTTACTATATGAGTCTGTGATAGTAACGAGGTAGTAAAGAGACATACTGACAATGAGATTGAAAACAATAGGAGGACAAATAGAAGAAAGAAAGAGAAAGAGAGAGAGAGAGAAAAAGAGAGAGAGAGAGAGAGAGAGAAAGAGAGAGAGAGAAATAATTTGCCCTTTCGACATCATCGATTGTCCATTGTCCTCGAAGAGACGAACGTCCACCTTCTCCCCTTCCTATATTTATCTATTTCTTCGTCATTGACACTAGGAAAAATAGAAAATACACTCGACTAGTTTTATGATCATCTTCGTGCTTCTAATTCGTCATACCGTGATTATGCGAACGCTAACAGAATAACCATTAAGGTTCATTAATCGCTTCGAGTGTTGCACAAGCCGCAGGCATTTTCCCCCAGGAAATACATTGATTACTTTCTTGAAATTCTTGTTCGCTTTTACACACGCTCATCGTCGTTTCGTTTCGTCATTTGCTGTTTAATTTTTCGTAAAATTCGACCACATGATTATTTACGTAAGTATTCAAACAAATAAACAGAATGGAAAGGAACAATGTCTAGGGTATTGTTTTAACCTGATTGATGCGACAATAGAGAAAGAGAACGCAACGCTAGTCTACTGTTATATAAAATTGATCGTATATTTTCTCTGTCTGCTGTTCGTGTTTAAACTGACTCTCGTAGGAAGAGGATAGCATTGAATGTCTGGACCCTTGAATGATGGGAGAGTCTGGATTACCGAGCTAACATCGATAGCTATGGAGAATCGAGATTTCGTCGAGCTGCTATCCAGGTCAGACAGAGAAAGCAGCAGAAGCAACAGCAGCAGCAGAAGTCTGACTACGGTGATACAAGAATCTTATGTAATTCGTGATCGCGTCTCTCATAAATACCAATTGAAATAAAAAAAATTCACATGTTTTTTTATATTATCCTATCGCTGTATTTAATAGTATTAAATATTTTATCATATTATTTGTATATAAGAAGGATATATGCAATATGAAATGTTTTTAAGAAAAATAAAATCAATCAATTTCATCATATCATTTTAATGTTAAACATTAATCATGAGATCAAGAAATTTGATAAAGAAAGTGGAGTTGTTCAATCTACTTTCTAAGAGAGCAATAACTTCTAACGTTTTTTTGATATAACACATTTTATTCTAATAGTTTGAAAATTTGTAATAAAAGCTAATCTTGTTAGAAAGTAAAGAAAATTAATCAATTTTGAAAATAACTTTCGATGTTTATAATTGAATCGGACATTAAATAAAATTAAAGTAAAAATTATGAAAGTACCTAAAAGCAAAACGATATTAGTAGTTTCGTTCACATAGTATGCGATAATTATCCCCTTTCCTATAACGGTACATGCGCGTTACAATTTTTCTGTTGTTTTAAGTGACATTATGATAATGTGAGGAGAACGAGCGTTAATATTTAATATTCTTGACGAGTAAAAGAGAAAGAAATAGACAGACAGAGATCAAATGTTCCGACACGTAAGAATATTGTTATGTATACTTTTGTGTATGCACACGCGCGCGCGCGCGCGCACGCGTGTGTGTGGATATGTGTGCGTGTATACGCAAGAAAGGCGTTGATCTCAATCGAGTTGAGAGGGAAATAAAATTCAAGAAGAAAGTTCTTGAATTTTCACTTCCTAAATTCACTTCCTAATAATAACGGCACGTTATCGTCACTTCGATTCGACAAATATCATAAATTTAAAATCAAAAATTTTAAAATACTATAATTTGAGAGATAAGAACGGGTTTTTCGTCTTTTCTTTTCTTTTCAGTCGATAACTTTGTCGTTCTAATTACGCACCACGTAAAAATAAATATATCAAGATAACGAACTCATGCGAAAATATTATCGAAAGAGAAAATATTCATTTTCTTTTCTTTTTTATATTGAACTTCTCCTTCTTAATATAGGAATCGTTTTATTGTTCTTTTTTTGGTGATATTGTTAAAACATAAAAAAACCTTATATCATTATTATGAAAAATAATAATAATCGAATCAAGAGACAAATTTTATACATGGAGCGTGTTGATGTATTCTGATACATTTGTATATATATATATATATATATATATATATATATATATATATATAGACACACATAGACTTATATATACATAGATAAATTGTAATCATGCCAGCTTTGAAACGAGAGCGATTTTCAAAGAGTATGCAGTTTCACGACAGGAATAATAATAAAGGAAATACGTTCTCTTTAGAAGTTATAGTTAATAGGAGCTCGTTCCCTTTGCCAATTAATTGAATGCATATTTTATACGGTAAAGTGTATCCATCATATTGGAACTTTGAGTGAACATTAATAACGGAATATAAGCTGTCGGTTGACAATAGAAAGAGAAAGACAAAGAGAGAGAGAGAGAGAGAGAGAGAGAAAGAGAGAAAGAAAGAGAGAGAAAGAGAGAGATAGAAAGAAAGAAAGAGGTCACACGAATCATTGTCCTCGAATACTTTCGCTTTAACCGTTCATTCGTATCAGATCAGATCGTTCCGGACTCGAAATTTATGACGACCAATAGAACATTAGTTACGTAGACATACTAATTATAGCTTAATTACACCAACTTTTCATTGAACGTTCCTCGATTATCAAGACTCGAACTAAAAATAATAAAGTGTCTGTAACTTATAGACAATGTTTCCACTCTCTCGACCCGACAAAACAAACTCAACTAGCATGAATACATTTGAAGCTAATATTATTAACGCTTCTTATTTCGACTCGCTTGTTTACGTATCGTCATAAGTTATCGAATAACTTATAAATATTTCGATTCGAGCGATAATAATAATTATAATTAATAATATGAATAATGATAGGTAATCCGATAGAAATAGAAAAATTTTCTCATGAGATTGGATTCTTGAAGGAAATCGCAATTTTAACACAGTGGAAGGACACTGCATCATCGAAGGTCATCGAGAAAATGATTTCACTCGTGTTCATGAGAATTCGTCCGTTACCCTTGCGAGTCCCAATGCACATTTCTCTTTCCCTCCTCCCCCACTCTCTCTTCCTCTTTCTCCCTCTATCTCTCTCTCTTCCTCTTTCTCTGTTTCTCTATTTCTCTTTCTGCTTCTTTTTCTCTATTTCTCTTTTTCTCTCTCCGTATCTCTCATTTTCTCTGTTTCTCTTTCTTCCTTCCTCTCTGTCAACATCGATGATAGCTAAGGCAGAAAGGAATTTGCAAACGACGATGTTCGACTCCTCGGCGTTTATGGCAGAGAAAGGGTACGATCTGGCACGTCCACTGGCATCCAAGCATGATTCGAAGAGGAATATTCGATGTAGGTATGTCGATGGAGAACTCGTATAACCTGTCCTCCTTCCAATCTAACTTAATTTCTTTTCTCTAAGAATTTTGAAAAATAATATTTAACCTTCTTATATATATATAAATTTATATGTAAAATATACATAAGCAAATATATGTTTTACTACACTCTAACCTACTTAATGAGATATAAACGATTAATAAATTGTTGTGCATCTTAATGAAATCAATAATAAATGAAATAACAATTAAAAATATAAAAAGAATTATTTATCGCTAGATGAATACGATGACAGAAATTCTCGCGTTAGTACTCTACGGTTTCTTTGTCCTGAACAATGTGTAACATAATCTAGAAAATGTGCTGACGCTCTCTTGAGAACTCATGCGAGAAGAAGAAAACGTAGCGAGACTATGAGAGAGACCAGATCAACGAGAACAGAAAAGAAAGGATTGAAAGAAGAGGTTCGTAGTGAAAAAAAGCGTCACGCATTGAAATCTCCGAAAAGGAATGATGAGAAAAATTAAAAGTAGAAAAGTAAAAGAAAGAGATAGAGAGAGAGAGAGGTAGAGAAAAAGAGTGAGAGAATAAGAGACAGAGAGGGAGAAAGAGAAAGAGAGAGAGAGAGAAAGAAAGAGAGAGAGGGAGAGAAAAAGAAAAAGAAAGAGAGTCAGAGAAAGAGAGAGAACAAGAAGCGAAGTACAGCTTGGACGGCGTCGTCGATGTTGACCAAGCATCGATGTCTCCGTACAGAGAAAAAATACACTTACCAAAGCAGATAAAAAAACACATACACACATACAGATGTATTAACAAATAATTATTCACTTACTTCTCTGCGCATCAGCCGCTTCTCCCTACTCCTATTATTTATCCTCGACTTCTTCTGTACATATACGTATATATCGTCTTCTTGATAATACACAGAATCGATATAAACGATCGTTACACGTTCGATGAGCTCCGTCGGATCCACGAGGATTCTTGTAACAACACTCTACACGATTCTGGTTACGTGCGTGTAAATAAGTAACTAAGTAAATAAGTAAGTACGTGCGTGAACACAGGAAAGAGAGATGATCTTAACAAGGGAAAAACTTAGACGAGTTTCAGAATATGAGAAACAAAGATGAAGATATATCAGAAACAGGTATATATATATATATATATATATATTATATATATATATATAAATATATATATAAATATATATATAGATACAAGTGAAAGAAGAAATAGGATAGGAATACTATTTAATCTAAAAGGCAACTTAGAAATAGCGAATGTCTCAACTCCTTTACTCGCGCTATATAATCACATTTATCACGCATGCGTTGAAATGTAAACGTTAAGATATTAGAAGAGCATAATTACTATATCGTTCTTGTTACGTTTAAAATATCCGATGAATTTATCACTAAAGCACCCACAATATATATATACGTATTTATATGTATATACACATATATATAACTTATTTTTCGACGTTTCGAAGGTTGCCGGACGAGCAGGCACCGACTGCCTTCGCGACACGATCCCGTGCCGTGGTATGCGACCGTTCGACCTCGCCTAAGAACCTTTTAGTTTCCATAGCTGCCGTATAGCGCCACTATCCACTACCCTGGTACCGTTACCTGTTTCTTTGCAGGTGGGGCAAACAGTCCCACACAGGCCCCACTACTATACCTTCTCCTCCTTCTACTTTCCTCTACTGATGTCAGGACTTTAGATCCACGTCATTGACGACGAACAACCGTCTGGTGTTCCTGTCTGTCGCGGGTGTCTTCTTGCAGGTGCATCCTGTATTTCTACCTCTATAGGGTATTTGTATACAGGGTGGGAAAAAATATTGTAGTCAGATTTTAAGAGTTCATCGATACGAATAAGAAAATTTTAATAAAGTTTAGTTTAAAGATTATTTTATACTAATGTATTGATTATATATTGATTATATATATATCAATTATATAAACAATTTATTCTATACTGAATATTAAATTAAAGTGAATATGATACTTTATTATGATTTATGAGTTATAATAAAATGAATATTTTAGTTTTACTATTATCATTTTATTATTACAATTACTATTTTGAATATATTTCTATTTCATTCTAATTTTCTCAACACCCTATGTATGTAGAGGTAGACCCGCGCCCTCCCTAAATGGTATGAGGAACCCCAAAGAGGTCATCTAATCCTCGGGCCATTGTCCCCATACGGAATTCTCAAGTTGACCCCGGCGCGTGCCAGTCATCGAACACGTGCTTTAGAGAGACCGATGGAATCATCATTTTTGCATAAATGCATACAATATTTGTCTAATATGACAATGTTGTAGATTATGAAAAACTTTTGAAAGAGAAGGATTGCAGTTGAAGTTTATGAAGAATAGGAAGTGAATTCTTTTCTTCAAGATTATCAATGACTATTATTATTATAATTACGTATATAATTATTATTTCAGATTGATCGATGAATTCACTCATAATTTTATTATTATATATAAAAATTAATTAAATTTTGATAGAAACTATATTAACTACTCTATCTTGTTATTTTATGTAACAAGAACAAAAGTTTAATTCAATTCGCCCTATTTATATTTTGTTAAAATTAAGGATAGCAGATCATAAGGATGTTAAGGATACTTTCGAATAGTATACTTTATAATGTTATACTTTAAAAGATCTTCACGTAGCAACCATAACAAGTCATTGACTAACACCATCTTTATCCTTCGATCTACTTTTCTTGATTTTTATTCATCCTTCGTCGTCAAAAAAAGAATATATATATATATATATATATATATATATATATATATATATCGGGCCATTAATGATGCTATGATCGTAGTTCACAAAGGGGTTAAGAATTTTGTGTGCTCCTTTTTGGTTTTGGATAATCATGAACATATACATACATATACATATACATATATGTACATACCTCCAGACATTAATGTATTAAAACGTATCCTCTATTTTACTTCAATGATATGTAACCAATTGCACTATCACATTAGTGGTATGCAAGCAATGCACTTATAGATTCCCATTCACCGTTCCTGTGGTTTCTTGAGCGAAATACTAGTACTCATGAGCTAAAGGAAACCTTGGCCATATTAGCCTTCTTCAAGGAATAATATACTTTTCTTTTAACCAACTAAGTATTTCAAGTTCTATTTTCTTTTTTCTCTATTGCTGTTATAACTAACGAACGAGCTAATCAAAGGATTACATGGATCGCACGGTCGCATTTCTTACACGAATCCTGTCCCAGTTGCTTCCTTAATGAAACACGATCACTAATGTATTCTATTTTCTCTATTGTCGACATTTTACGTGATACTCGTGCCGACGACCTCATCTATAATGACCTGCTCGATCGAGGTAAACAATTTCGGTCGGAATCTCTTTAGTCGTATCTAAATAGAAAGTAACTGAATTCTTTATCGTCGAAATGTTACGATGTAACGAGGACTTATCCGAATTTTTAAGATAGTCGTGTATTTACTAGAGTTGTCATTGTCATTGTTTACAATGTAAATCTATTGATAGATTTGAATTGTTGATAAATACTAAATGATATTCTCTGAATTCATTCTTTTTTTTTTTTTTCATTTAATATTCATGAAATTTAATGAAATGTCATAGGAAGAAATTTATCGTTCAAATGGAATTAATTGTTCTTTTTGTTTTATATATTTCTTCGAATACAATATCTATGAGGCGGTCATAATTTTTTTTCATTATATTTTTTATTTTTGTAAAAACATTTTCTTGTTGAACATTAAAAACAATTGAAAAAAAAGTTGACTTATCTGTTATACAATTAATATCAGAATTCTTTAAATCCAAATAATAAATAAGTAATGTTCTTATCATCCATAAATTTTTAATTCTAATTATTATATTACATGCCTACTCGCAAGATAAAATATACTAATATTATAATAGTTTCGTATATTAAGTTTTATTCAGAAGATACTTTGCCGACGGCTCAGAAACAGATTTCAACACTGATGGTAATAATGAAATGGCTGATGGTTAATTCCTAACTCCAACTTCTTTACCGACATAGCTGGCTATGTTGTATCACTTATCAAATCGTATTAATTTCGAAAGAGTGATAGAAATAATACTAGAGCCTATAGATGGCGCATAAATGATTCGAATTTAGATATAATTTTATAATTTTCAAAATATATAAATTAGTATATTAACATTTCTTTAAATATCATTTATATTTTTTTAATTATCTTTCAAGGCATAACTAAAGTTCAACATTGAAACGTTTTTTTCTTTAGAATAATTAAAATTATTTAGAATGAAATAGCAAAGAGTATCTAAATTTTAATATTTATTTTGTATGCTTTTACAATAATTTTTTAAGCGGAATATGTATGGAAATAAAGAATAAAAAATCATCAGAGATAATAACATCAATTTAGAAGATTTTTCCTGTCCAAAATTTTATGACAATCAATATTTGATATTTAGCTTGGAACTAATTGGAGCGGAAAAACGTTCGCACTCGATAAGCATCGACCTCGATAAGGGGTTGACTATCGCATTTTTATCAACGGCAGAGCAAATATTTGAGCCGGCACTTGGCCGAATCGATGAACGCAGCGGTCGTGGCGTGCCGTTCGAGTAGTGAGATAAAATTAACAGCGAACCATACTCAGGCAGAAAGTGACCAATAATGTTTGGACGAAAACGATTCCATGGTATTCATAAAAAATAATGCAAACATATTAAAGAGCTTATCTCTAAGGGGACAGATGATTAAATATGCCGGCCATTTTTTTTGAGCTCTCATACGAATCCACCCCTTGGCAATAATATAAATCGAACGTTTGTGTCGCGCACTGCTGCTACTGCTGCTGCTGTGGATCCTGAAGAGGACATAATTTCATTTAAACTTTTATTGGATTACGTCGTATCACGAATCCCCGTAAAAATATATCATCGTTCTGCTTTGTTATCTCGCGCGGCGTCGCCCGAGTACCTATACTATATCGCTGTCCTACCTACAATATCGTCCCAGTCGGAATTTTTATAATGCAGAAAGGAGGATATAGCCATCTTCGATTGATATGGATGAGATGGTACGAGTTATGATATACGCTCGGTTTGAAATGGAAAATCATGCCTGGATTCGATTCGCACGTGAGCTGAAATAAAGTTACATCGGTAACCTTAAACCTCGAAACTCTCTACCCCTTCTTAACTTCAGTCCTCTTCTCTTGACTACCCTCTATTTGCTTAGTTATATCGGCACTTTGTTGAAGATAAGTCCCATGGAATTTATATCATCGCGTTTCGCGAAGACGATCATTCGAAAAATTTCCCGTAATTGTCCTAAATCGTATCTATCGTTTGCCAAGAATTCTTTCATCGTTTCGTTTAACCAGGGAAACTCGTTTTTCATTGTATTAAATTAAATAAATTCATAAAATTCTTCGAAAACGAGTCAGAGGGTTGGAATATTTATCTCTGAACCGTCGGATTTTGGATTTAAACGGTGGAGAATTGAGACAATTTTTCGACAGGGATATGAGAAAGAGATAGAGAGAGAGAGAGATAGAGAGAGAGAGAGAGAGAGAGAGAGAGAGAGAAAGAGAGAAAGAGAAAACGAAAGAAAGAAAGAAAGAAAGAAAGAAAGAAAAAAAGAAAGAGAGAGACAATGTGCGGAAGGGAAGGCATATATAAAGTTCAGCAAGAAGGACGGAGATGGAAAGAGAGAAAAGAGAGTCGGGGAGAGAGTAGCAGACAGTGTAGTCCCTGGTCGCAACTTAAATTGACTCGATAAAAGTTCGCGGAATAAAGCGGCCCTGAGCTTCGCCACTATATCAGAAACATCTGCCAAACGTTATTACAACTTTGAATAAAGAACGGCGTTGGGTGACCGTGTGAGAGAGAAAGAGAAAACTTCCCTTTTTTTCCTGATAAACGACGAGAAGGTAGAGGAGGAGAGAATCGTTTCTCTTCCATGGCAAACTTTTTCGTTTCTGCACGGCCTTTGCGAAAGAACTTCGACGATAAATCAAGTCGTTATTTTAATTTCAACAGGAATGTGTCACGATGGTGAACTTGTTCTACGCCTCATGTTCGCCTCCTCTTTCTTTTTCTTTTTTTTTTCTTTTTTAACCATTTTCAAGCACATTGTTAATCGTTATATCACAATTAGATGAACGAAATGGTGGCAATATCGAATAAACGCGTTTTTGAATAATCATAAATAATTAACTATAATTTTGGTTTCATTCCCAACCAAATGATGAAAATTGGAGAAAATAATTGGGTAACAAAGATTGACATTTTTAATTTTATATTAATTACGTAACTATATAAATAAATCAAGAGGATATACAAATATCTTTATGAGTTATCTATCGTAAATTCTTCGAAAAGCTTAATTGAATATCCTTAGAAGAAATAGAGAGCGAGAGAGAAAAAGAGAGAAAAAGAGAGAAAAAGAGAGAGAAACAGATAAGAGAACTGATAAATGTTCCACTCAAGCATCTCTCTTCTCCCAAAGGA